GAGGGGAGGTGTTTGCCTATTCTCTTTCTTGACAGTTTCAGGCACGAAAAACCAATCCATTTCTAACTTACCAAATCCATCATAGGAAGTCTGTACTTAACTAACATTTTTTTTTTAACTTTAAATCAAGCAACCAACCCGGCAAACTTGCTTGCTAATTCATACACAGATTTACAATATGTTTGGATACCGGGATTTGGAAAGTTGAGGAGGTTCACGTTATGTTTGATTGGGAGATTTGAGGAAGAATTTAAAAAAGGAGAGAGAAAAATTAGGTGAAATGTGAATAAAATATACATATATTTCACATAGTTTCACACATCTTTTCTCTTTTTCTTTCCAAATCTCTCCCCAAATTCTGTAAGAATTTATTCTGTTTATTACAAGTCCTATATATAGAGGAGAAGATGGTAGTGGAGTGTGTGATAGTGGAGGTGGATGGTATGGAGAAATTCTAACAGCCCCCCGCAAACTCAAGGAGGATAGAAACTAACCAACTTGAGTTTGGAGAGAGTAACAAAACAAGAAAATACATAAAAATAAAAAAAAATAAGAGACACTAGATGGTCGTGTCAGACCATTGGTGAAGACACTGGATGGTGGTGTCAGACCGATGTAGAAGACAGTTTACGGGGTCATGTCGGACCGTTGTAGCAGACAGTTTATGGGGTCATGTCGGACCGTTGTAGAAGACAGTTTACAGACAGTTGTGGTGACAGTCAAACTCAATGCGGACTCTGTTTTGGGCCAAACTTATTGCGAAAATCTGGGCTTCACTTTTTCTCTTCTTGGGCCGTTTTACGGAATTATGGGCTTCACTTTGTGACCAAGCGACTTTTTAGGGTGATTCTATTTGCACTTAAATAATAATTCAGTATACTTAATTAAAATTTTGAAATTTTAGTTTTTAGTTTACCACAATGTAAATTTACTAATAAGGACAATGCACATTAAATTTTAAAATAAAATATTATTTTTTATCATAGTGTACCCAAATCGTTTATTATTATTTGTGGAGGGATAAAATATCAACCCAAACCCAAAACAATAAAGCAAACGGCCCAGAAAAAGGAGAAGGCCCAAATGAACCTTTTCAAGGATCCCATTAGGAGACAACTGGCAGTGCATTGAAGCGAGATTGCAAGCATGAGGAAAGATATATTTCTAGAAGAAAGATTTGTAGAGTACAAGGGGAACATCGGATTCATATTCATCTAACAGTAAAAACATCAAGCAGCAAAAAATAGGAGCATAGAACAGGCCTACTATTGAATAATTTTTGGATCATGTATCTGGGTGTGTGTTGGAAAAAAAAAAAAAAGATAACCCGTGTATGTGTGTATGCATGTATCTGGGTGTGTGTTGGGTCTCTCTTCCCCCTTTCTCTCACCTTTCTCTCCCTAAGCCGAGAGAGAGAGATAGATGGGTTTGCATGTGTGGGGTCTCTGCTGTTGTGATCAGGGTGGAGAATGTGATCTCCAAGATCAGTCTATGGCTTTTGGTTCTGATCGGGGCCGGTTTATCATGGTGACGAGTTTCATTCCGAAAAAAAAAAAAAAAACGGAACACCTGTACCAACGGAATAGATGGCTCTGATTGATTCGACGGCGTTGTTGTTGAAGAGAGATGATGATGACTCGGGTGACTCGGTGGTGGACTTGTGGATGATCAGAAGTCCGATCATTGCCCCGATGATCACCGTTGAGAGAGATGACGACGGTTCGGCCCTTTCTGCAGAAAAGACAGAGAGAGAGGCCTTGGTCTTAGCCCATGTGTGTTGGTGGAGGTGACCAAGATGGATGATGGTGATGATGCTCTGATCTTGAAGGTGAATGTTGAATTGGGTTTAGTGGCAGCGGAGTCAAGGTATGTGTAGAGGTCCGGCGGGCGGCCAAGGCGAGGCTGCCGCCCGCCGGTGAAGCAGAATGATTAGGTTCTTAACCTGGCTCTGATACCATGTAAGATAAATTGATAGAGAGAGAGAAAATAAATTGTGTATATATTGATTGATGAATGTTGTATTGATTGATGTATATTACAAGGATTTATATAGGAGAGGATTTGGGAGTAGGTGAAGGTGGTAGTGGAGGTGGTAGGTGGAGTGAGTGGTAGTGGAGGTGGTAGGTGGGTGGTAGTTTATATTTACAATTTACATTTTACATTAACAATTTGTAAGAGGGAATTAAGGAATAAAAAAGTTAAATTACATAACGATATCACATCAGGCAACTTGATAATTAGTGACATGAACATGTTCACTTGATCCACATGAGGGGAGGTGTTTGCCTATTCTCTTTCTTGACAGTTTCAGGCACGAAAAAGCCAATCCATTTCTAACTTACCAAATCCATCATAGGAAGTCTGTACTTAACTAACATTTTTTTTTAAACTTTAAATCAAGCAACCAACCCGGCAAAACTTGCTTGCTAATTCATACACAGATTTACAATATGTTTGGATACCGGGATTTGGAAAGTTGAGGAGGTTCACGTTATGTTTGGTTGGGAGATTTGAGGAAGAATTTGAAAAAGGAGAGAAAAATTAGGTGAAATGTGAATAAAATATACATACATTTCACTTAGTTTCACACATCTTTTCTCTTTTTCTTTCCAAATCTCTCCCCAAATTCTCAAACCAAACGCAGCATTAATATTCACCATGTGGATTGTTTTTTAAAAAGAAGATTTGAAGTATATGGACATGTTTTGAAACAGATCACTCATAACTATTTCGTTTCTAAAATTGGGATAATACCGAAAAGAAATAAAGTATTTGTTATTAAATTTTTGGATAAATTATATTAAACTCTCTTAAACTATCAACCATTTACACTTTACCCCTTAATGTTTTAAACCCAACAATTACTCCCTTCAAACTATTTGAATTTGAACATTAAATCCTTTTGTTAGTCATCTGTTACATATTTAGATGAAAGATTATCAAGTGTTGTGTATATGATGAGTATATTAAATTTTATGATAAAATTATCCTATTTTATCTTTTGTAAAAATTTAATATAATTATCTTGTGCACAATACTTGATAATTTTTCATTCAAATATTTAACAGAGGACTAACAGAGACTTAATGTTCAAATTTAAGTAGTGTGAGGAGGTAATTATTGAATTTAAAACATTAAAAAGGCAAAATATAAATAATCAATAGTTTGAGATTATTTAAAATAATTTGTCCTAAATTTTTTTTGACTTATCCTCCACTCTTTTAGAAGATAAGTACAGATATTTTCAAATTTTACATATTGGGTCTACCCCTCCTTCCCTTTCATAATTATGTCAACCAAAAGATGTCACCGTTTTTTACCTTTGGTTAATTATTCATTGTCTAACCAAATAATTAACGAGATGCATTCTCGTGAATCATGTCTCAAGATTCATGTACCTTAAACTTTTTGGTGAGAAATACATTAGTACAACAGGATAAAGGCATTTTTAGATAAGATCTTTAACGCTTTTCTTATTTCTTTCATTTTCTTTGACATGTAATCACCTGTCCTCAAAATTTATATTTTTTTTTATCCTAATACATTGCTGTTCGTATAATTGTATTTTAAAATTCAACTACATTATGTGATTATGGATTCGTTTGGAAAATGGTTGTCTTTTTAGTTTTTTTTGTTTATTTTAACCTGGAATTAAAAAGTCATGTTTGGGATGAACTTTTTGATCTTTTTGACTTTTGTGAAAAAAAGAATGTAATGATTATACGTTAAATCATAGGGTGTTCGTGGATCGGTTTTGTGCGGTTTGCGGTTCGGTTTTGACCCGTCCGCATCTATGCGGTTTGGAAAAAAGTCAACCAGCAACCGCCCGCAGTGCGGTTTGCGGTTTGTGCGGATAGGGTTTGCAAATGTACGGGCGGTTGCGGGCGGTTTGCGGTTTACACTTTTTTCTTTAAAAATTAATTTTTGAGTTTTTTTTTCCTAGCGAATTTAGGCATCAGATTCATTTTATATATTTGTAATAACAATTTTTTGATGAGTTTACAAATAAAAATTGAATATCAATGCATTAAATGAAAGTACCCAAAACAAAGAGACCCTACACTAGCATTTTTGCCATGAAAAAAATGTATATCAATGCATTAAAGGTTGTACTCAATTAGAATTGTCAGTTCAGTAATCAATAATCAAACTATAAGTTCTATCGACCATTAGAAGAAAAATTTTATTAGGAAAAAGTGGATGAATCACCAATGAAAATCATATAAGAAACCAAGTTTAGGACTTGATAATTCTACGGCATTAAGAAAGTTGAGAAATACTTAAAAATAAGGATCCTAGTGTCATAGAGAATATAATGGTGCTCCTGTAAAAGTTACAAAGTTGGTATATAAAAAATAATAATAATAATAATAATAATTAAAGTGCGGGCGGTTTTTGCGGGTTACGGGTTTAAACCGCGACCCGCCCGCAATCCGCAAATTTGTTATATTTCAAACCGCATCCGCCCGCATTATGTTTGCGAAACCGCCCATTTATATGCGGATTGGGCGGTTTGAGCGGTTTGGATAAACCGTTGCCCACCCCTTAAATGTGATATTTTCTTTTATTGAACTAAAAAATTTACTTTATTTTTTTATAACTACTTTAACCAAAAAAGCTTCAAACCTACCTGCCCAAACGAGCCCTATGACTACATTCAGAATAGAGAGATTTTGGAGACATACTCCAACCCCTTATAACCTACACTGTTGTGTATTCATTTAACTGATAATTTTTCTTTTAAGATGGTTTCTTAATCTAAATTTTCATAGTTCAAATGTTTTGAATATCTCAAAATAATAATTATTTTAAAAATAAAATGACATCATTTTAATATAATCAAATTATTTAAACCATACAAATTCGAGTTACTAACATTTTCTTGTTCCTTTAAATCAAGCAATCAAAACCAACCTATAATAGAAAATTGTCAATTCAAAGACAGAGCAACACAAGTCCACTTGAATATTTAAGTCAAGCAACCAAACCCATCACACACTTTAATTGTCATCTCTCTCTCTCTCTCTCACACACACACACACAAAGGGAGAGGGAGGGCGAGAGAGAGAGAGAGAGAATGGGTTGGACATGGAAGAAAGAACACTTGGATGTAATCCTAGTCCCAAGTGGGTTACTGATCATGTTTGGCTACCATCTCTACCTTCTCTACAGATACCTCAAACTCCCCCACACCACAGCCATGGGCCATGAGAACAACAGCAGAGCAGCTTGGGTTGAGAGAACCATGCAGGTTAGCCACTCCACCTCTCCTTTTCTCCCTCCCCAAATCTCACTCTAGCAAAAATCTCAAGCTCAATAACCAACTATTCTCTATCTCAAACCTGAATTACTGAAAATCTCGAAATGCAATAATTTCAAAACATGATTCAAGGACATTGACGGAGAGATTTGAGGAGTGAGAATCTGTAAATCATATCCTCTGTCCCCAAATCTTCCAATTCTATGTCTCAAATCACTTTCGGTCATTGAATCATTGAAAATCTCAAAATATGATTCAATAGATGTGAATATTTTGAGACAGATGGATAGAGAGATTTGAGGATGGAGAATCTGTAAACGATATCCTTTCAAATCATCAAATTCTATGTCTCAAACCACTTACAGTTACCGAATAATTGAAAATCTCGATTTTGAAAACCTTTTTTTTTTTTTTTTTATTACGGATTTGCAGATCGACGTGAGGGACAGAGGCCAAGCTCTAACAGTGATAACCACCAACATCTCAACGGCAACAACACTGTCCTCCATCTCTCTAGTCCTAAGTTCACTAATCGGAACATGGCTCGGAACCTCCACAAAAACCATCTTCACAACCCACCTCATTTACGGCGACACAAGCCAATCCATCATGTCGATCAAACACATCACTCTTCTCATCTTCTTCCTCATCGCCTTCGCTTCCTTCATCCAAACAACGCGCTGCTTCGTCCACGCAACCTTCCTGCTCACAATGCCTGACGCCGAAGTTCCCGCGAGCTACGTGGAGAAGGCGGTGATCATGGGAAGCAATTTCTGGTCGACTGGAATGAGAGCTCTCTACTTTGCGGTGACGCTGTTGCTGTGGGTTTTCGGCCCGATTCCGATGTTTGTGAGCTCGGTGGTGATGGTGGGGGTTTTGCATAATTTGGATTCCGATTCGGCTCCTTTGCATCAGTTTCGGCCTGTCCCCAGTCGGAGTGTGTTGAAGAATGTTGGGGAGGAAATGGTGGCTGTGGGGAGAGCTGTTCAACAGCTTGGGAGACCCCATGGGAATTGAGCTACCTACGGTAGTATACCACCACCAGAAGAGAAAAGGGCAATTTTCTACCATTCTTTTCATCGCATGAGATTTTTTGTCTTCAAAATCTCTTTCTTCTCGCATCTTTATTCACTCTTAATTGTAAAATAATGTTATGAGAATCCCGAAAATAATTTTGATATACAATTGTACCGTTTGAAATTTTCTATCTTCAAAATCTCTCTGTTTTCGTGTCGTTATTCATTCTCAATGGTATAATGATGTTATAAGAATCTCAAAAATAATTTTGAAATACAATTGTAAGGTTGAAAATGCATTTGGCAATATTGATTTTATAAAAATGTTGGAGATTAGGAAGAAGTGTCTTGAAATTTTGACTAAACGATTAGAAAAGTTTAGAATCAATTGGCTGATCGGTCCGAAAAGGCTTCAAAATGACTTTCATGGAATTTTTTTCGTGACTTGATATATATATATCTATCTATACTATTATAAATTGAACACAAACTCTTATGGTGTCTTGAAACTTTACTCTCCTCATGCAGGACTCATACCACTTGAGCTAAGTACACATTATATTATTAATTTTATTATTATTTTTTTTTATTCCTACTTATTTAAATTGCACACACATCGTGTGTGCCACCCGCTAGTATATATAATGTCTCAGACGCTCATTGGGGTGAGCCCAGGCCCCAGTAGACTGTAATTGGTCTGTTTGTTTTTTTTTTCTTTTTTTCTTTTTTTAATCTAATGACCAACCCCTGTGTGTGTGGGGGTGGTGGGAGTGGTTGGAGACTAGGAGTCTCAATCAAAACTGTATATATATATGGCTTCCAACCTAAAGAGGAACAGATTCTATTTTTTTTATTTTATTTTTTTGGCCAATTGCTTGCAAAATTTAAATCATGGCAGACCCTGCGTTGGCTAAAGTGGGTGTAATTCTTGTTGGATTGGAGCTGGATTTGATTTAAAAAAATATGTGCAATATTTTGTATTTTGAAAAAAAAAAAAAAACTGGGTATGGCAAGGTAACAGCACATCAAATTTAAATGTAAACCAAGTTCTAAATATTTTTTTGAATTATTATTTTTTTAATACATAGCATTTCTGGTTCAGTATGTTTAGAAATATAAAAATTAAACACACAACATACATGAATGCCTAAGATTCTACAAGATTTGTTAATGGAATTCACTTTTTGTCTGTCAATATAACTTTGGCATGACCAGGTGAAAGAGAGCCATGGAACCTCATCCTCTCCATAAAATAATTCATATTTGTGGATGTGAACACCCTCCAATGCCATGTACATAAATCAACGGTTCAGATCACATCCCTACTGGTCTGGAGAGTTTTGATCAAGAGACAACTAACTACATGTGGACACAACCAAATTTGCCAAATTTTTTATCATCCTTTTAGACAAACAACATTGAATATGAGATAGAGTGGACTAAACTTAGGTCAATAACGTGAGAGGAATGTTATGCATTCAGAGACTTATTAATTTGACGTAGGCAGCATGTTTGAAAGTTGTCCTAAAGATTGGGATCGTCTCCTGTTCGATTCCTGGGTTTGGGACGTGGATTTATTTTTTAAGTTTTTTAATTTTTTTGATTATTTTAGTCTGGGATTAAAAAGTCTCGTTTGGAATAGGCATTTTGGTTTTTTTAACTTCTGTGAGAGAAAAAATGAAATGATTATGAGTTAGATGTGACATTTTATCCTATTTGACTAAAATAGTCTATTTTGTTTTATATGGCTATTTTAGTTCCAATGAGACATCCCAAACGAGCACATAGACCTTGTTTGGGGTACTCTAAAAAAGCTAAAAAGTTAAAAAGTCATTATCCTATTTAAGTCATATCATCTTATTTAAGTCACATCACCTCTCCACCGCATCACTTCAAACCCAACCCATATTTCACAAAAAGTCAAAAAGTACACTTATGTGTTGGTAGATTTTGATGACCCGCACAATACCTGTTTCAACAATTTAAATTGTTTATTTTATAAAATAATTTAATTAGATCATTTATATAAAAGAAAAAAATCATATTATTTGGATAACTTATTAACATAATCAGATCACAATTATCTTCAAAAGAAAATTAATAATTAGGGGTTGTTTGGGATGACCTAAGTAAGTGTACTTTTTGTCTTTTTACAAAAAGATGTGTAGAAAAATAGAGAGGTGATGTGATGAAAAAAAATAAAAAGATAAAAAAATAAATTATTTGAGACTTCCCAAACTTGACCTTAGTATGACCAAATCACAAGCACTGCCACTGCAACAGATTTAGACCCCTTCTTGATGGCCACATCACAATTAACCTTGAGAGATCCAAGTTGAGCTACCACCCGTAGGAAGGGGAATGCACCACTTTTCTGGCTGCTGGAACTGACTCAAACTCTTTCCATGCCACTCGAGCTCAATGTAAAGTCAAGGAGGACACAATCGGACTGTGATTAAACACAAAATTGTTTCGCTCTTTTTAAATAAACCAACCAGTACAAAAAAAAAAAGACTCTCTTTCGTCTATTATCAAATGCAAAACTGATTACAAAACCAACCAAATAAAAAAATAAAATAATTTAAATAAAATTGAATCTTTTATGATGATTTCATAAACTGACAATGAATAATTAAAATTATTTTATGTGTCCGTAGTCTTATGGTTAAGAAAATCCAACAAGCAAAACAAGTTCAATAAATGGCACCCGCCAAAAAAACAAGATAATAGTAGAGTTTAATAAATGCCAAAAGAAAACGACGTCATTTTGACAGTTTTTAGCCATTTTAGTCACACTTTTTGTGGCCCTCACAAAACGACGTCATTTTGACAGTTTTGAACCATTTGAGTCACACTTTTTGTGGCCCTCAACCATTGCTCATGCCAAAACCTATCAACAAACTTCTGGCCAATAGGGTGTGGGGCATTCTTGTTTACCGAGAGGGAATGATTGAGAAACTAAAAAAAAATTAAAAGAGTTTTGAGTTGTGTTTTTTTAAAGTGTCATATAATATTCGTGATGTTGGAGTGTTACATGTCATGTTTGAGAAACGGTGGTATTACATATACCAATTATTATACTAACTAATGTATTAACACTAATTATGATATTATTATTGACCTCACTCATTAATTACATTACAAATATCCTATTAGTACACTAATTTAGGGAAAAATATACTAAAGAGTTTTTTTTTAAATGTCACGTCATACCCGTCACGTTATCACATTAGGAAAAAGTACACTAAATTTTTTTTATCTTTTTTGGAATAAAAGTTTGAAGTGTCACATCATACCTGCCATGTTATCATATTAGGAAAAAATACACTAAAGAGTTTTTATTTTTTTTAGAGTAAAAGTTTTGGAGTATCACATCATACCCACCACGTTGTCACATTAAGGAAAGATACACTAAAAAGTTTTTATTTTTTTTAGAGTAAAAGTTTTAGAGTGTCACATCATACCCGTCACGTTGTCACATTAAGAAAAAATACATTAAAAAGTTTTTATTTTTTTTAGAGTAAAAGTTTTGGAGTGTCACATTATACCTACCACGTTGTCACATTTAGGAAAAGTACACTAAAAGTTTTTAATTTTTTTGGAATGTCACATTAATACTTGTCACATTGGAGTATCACGTTATACCTGCACATTAATAAAAAAGTATAGTTGTCCACCAAAGCACTACCAAAATAAAAAATAAAACCACACGGAAAGAAACTCTCCACTAATAAAACTTAAAAGATAAATAAAAAAAATTTGAAACTAATTGAAATATTTATTTATAATATGAGATTTATTGGTAAATATCCCGTTTAACATCATGGACCACTCAGAAGGACCATTTCAATTTTTTATTTTGTTCATCAACATGATGGACCCTTCAGAAGGCCCATTTCAATTATTGAGGCCTCGTTTGGCAAGAGGCTATTTTAGCCAATTAGTCAAAAAGTTACTAAATTAGCCAAAAAGTCAAAGATTCTCTTTTCTTCCTACTTTTTGCACATCTTTTCGTAATTAGCCAAAAAGTCATCCCAAACATACAAGTTTTTTTTACCTACCTTTTTAGCCAAATAGTCAAAAAGTTACTAAATTAGCCTGTTTCCAACAAGGCCTGAATCTGTTCATTTGTTAATTATTAATATGTTGGTCACTCATAAAAAAAATACATTTATTTAATAATATTATTCACATGATTTTATCACAATTGTTTTTCACAGAATTGAAGATGTATTCTTAAAATCTTTTTAGTAGTTAATATGATAAGTATTATTTGGCATACCACATCTATAACCATCAAACATTAATGAGATTTCTATGAGATCTAATACATAAATAGTTACTAATATGTCACATTATACGACACATAAAATAAAATATGATACCTATAACATTATTATTAGGGCAAATTACACTTGTTTTTTTTTATAAAAAAAATGAGAAAAATACAGTTCGTTCTACACTTTTTATATAATTAAGGTAATATCTCTTTTAATAAAGATTAAAATGACCAAAACCAATACAGATAGTGGATTGGTATTGAAATAAATAAAAATAAATATACATTATAGTAGAAAAGAGATTATAACATTATTATTATTATTTCTTGCACCACTGCCCTCGGTCCTCTTTTCCCTCTTGCTGCGCTCATCCGCTATCGTCCTGATCACGCGCCACAGTCGGCGCTGCTGTTCATGCCAAGCGAGCTGACCTTGTGGTTATTTTTCAAAGCTAATTACGCTACTACTTTTCACCAGAGACATGAGTTTGTACCTATTAGAACTTGATCTAAAATTCGCATCTCTCACATGATTAAAGCCATGATTCACGCAACTTTCTTTTTCGTGAAGAGGGCTCGATCTCAGATCTGTTGATTTAGATTTGAGAAAGTAAACAATTGAGATAAAGTTTGATGAAGAAGAAGAGGCCCAATCAATCGATTGAGATATTGATTAAGAGAAGTTGAAATTTGACGAAGGATGATTTGTGCCCTAATCGACATATCTAATCTGAATCGGAGGGGAGAGAAAGAGAGAGAGTCATGGTAGCTAAACTCAAATCGAAGGTCGAAGATGGTGACAAAGTTCGAGTGTTTTGGGAAGATGATTAAAAGCTGACTTTTTGGCTTTTAAAAAAAAACGTGTAAAAAGTGTGAAAGGTTATGTGATCCAAAATGGATTAAAAGCTAAAAGCTAACTTTTAGCTAACTTTCCAAATTGCCC